AGTACTAGAGCAGAGGCCCCCTTAAAATGGGAGAAGGATTCTGAAATAGACGGCCACAGAGGGCAGCAGTAGCCAGATGTATCACCCTGCCCTGTGGCTGGCCTGTGGCCTGGGGGCCTTTCCTTTATCCCTCCACCAGTCCCTGCTGATGGCAAAACTGTGCTGACAGATGCTGGAAGGAGGCACAGCTAGTCCTGTTTGCTCAAAGAGAGGACTTTGAAGCCCTAGTGTTTCCACCCTTGGGTAGACAGTGAGATGGTTGTTTTGTTAGCAGAAGAGCACAATTCTATGCTGTGAGTATGAGCCTAAGAGGGCCTTTTGTTCATAGAAAACAATTAAATGACAGATTTTTGGCGTCCTTATCTGGACTGCCTTTCTTTAGGAATGAACAGATGATACACAGCAAAGTTTGTAAATTTCGAATGCAGCGGTTAACCTCTTTGAGGCTGGCCCACTGGGCTCCCAGGGGCAGCATCTGAGTGGGAAATGTTGTGATGAAACTCCGGTTACGTAAGGAAGTTGGTTTCAAATTCTGGGATAGTTTTCTGTAATGGAATCATTCCCTAGTGTCTTTATTCACGATGAAGTGTAGAGTGAAAGATGCCTCCGTTGGGGGTATTGGTGCTTGAGAAAAGCCACCTGTGTGATGTAAATTCATTCTGTTTAGGCAGAGCCGGGACTGCCGCATTCGCAATGTCAGAGAAGGTCCGGACCCGGCTGGAGGAGCTGGATGACTTTGAGGAGGTGAGCAAGTCATTTGTGGAGTGCAGGGAGTGGGAGAGCTTTTCATTCCTCCTGCCAAGTGAGATCAACTTCGGTGGCTGCCTTTTGATTAATTCCCAGTCTGCGGATTGTGCTCGGTCTTCCTGAGGCAATGACTCCATCCAGGGAAGGATGCCAGCTGTGCAGTTGGCCGAGCTCACAGAAGCCTGACGTCTGCTTTTCCAAAGGCCTCTTTTCTCATTGTGATGCCTGAGCAAGGCTGGGTTGCCTGGGGACAGTGTCTACTGGTAAAAACCAACTGCAAGGCTGGGCGCGGTGGCTCATGCCTATAATCCCAGCACTTTGGGAGGCCAAGGTGGGCGGATCACCTGAGGTCAGGAGTTCGAGACCAGCCTGGCTAACATGGTGAAACCCCAACTCTACTAAAAATACAAAAATTAGCCAGGCATGGGGGTGGATGCCTATAATCCCAGCTATTCAGGAGGCCGAGACAGGAGAATTGCTTGAACCTGGGAGACAGAGGTTATAGTGAGCTGAGATCATGCCACTGCACTCCAGCCTGGGCGAAAGAGCGAGACTTTGTCTAAAAAAACAAAAAAAACAACAAAAAACCCAAACTGCGGTCACCTCCCTGAGAAGCAGCCTTGTGTAGGACAAAGACCTTTCTTTGTAACATGCTGCTTGGGCTGGCTGGATATGGCCCATAGGAATCTTTTAATTGGCCTGTATGTACTTTGAAAAAAATGTGAGTCTTTTGCCAACACTTAAACATTAGTAAATGTAACCAACAGATACAGATGTCTTGAACAAAATCTTGGCTGGGCGCAGTGGTTCACACCTGTAATCCCAGCACTTTGGGAGGCCAAGGCGAGCAGATTGCCTGAGGTCAGGAGTTCGAGGCCTGGCCAACGTGGTGAAACCCTGTCTCTAGTAAAAAAAAATGCAAAAATTAGCTAGGTGTGGTGGTGGGCGCCTGTAATCCCAGCCACTTGGGAGGCTGACGCAGGAGAATTGCTTGAACCCAAGAGATCGAGGTTGCAGGTCACTCTTGTCGCTCAGGCTGGAGTGCAGTGGTGTGATCTCAGCTCACTGCAACCTCTGCCTCCCAGATTTAAGCAGTTCTCCTGCCTCAGACTCTCGAGTAGCTGGGATTATAGGCACACACTACCGCGCCCAGCTAATTTTTGTATTTTTAGGAGAGACAGGGTTTCACCATGTTGGCCAGGCTGGTCTCGAACTCCTGACCTCAAGTGATCCACCTGCCTTGGCTTCCCAATCTGCTGGAATTACAAACGCGAGCCACTGTGCCCAGCCAACTCATTTCTTTAGTAAAGAGTTTTTCACTTTGGATTGTAGGAAATATAAACATTTGGTTCCTGGTCTCGTCATGTGTGTTTGCATGACCTTCACTCCTGTGAGTTTTGTGAAGAGCCTCTTAACAATAGCCCAGGGTTAGGGAGCATCTACTCTGCACCAGGGACTGTGCCAAGTCTTTACCTACATGGTCATTTCATCCCCGTGATTGTCTTTTGCTCAGCTGCTAAGGGTTTCTGCTATAGTTTTCTTTCTGTCCTGATTGCTGTCCCTGGTCTAGTTAACACCCCTCACATTCCACAGTGCCTAGTTAACACCTGTACTCCACTGAGAGTTTGTCTCGAGTATCATTCCTCCAGGAAGCCATTCCTGAATCGCTCCACCACAGTTTACAGCCCATTTCTTTGTTACCATATTTCTTCCATTCTGAGATGTACGATTTCTCTCACATTTGAACATCTCTGAAATTGGAGTATATGTTCCTCAGTTGATTCCTGTCAGTGATCAGCACATTTTTATTGGTAGCCCATGAAACAGTTGTGCTTTTTCCAATGGGCACCTCGGGTACAGTGAACTATGGTATGTGTCCCTATAGAATTGTGTTTTCTCCTGAGCATTTATCTCAGTTTGAGTTAATATCTGTAGTATCTTAAGCTCCATTAGTGCTGAAATACCCTGTCATGTCTTATTGCTTGGGCGTCTTGAGCAAAAATGTCTTTGTATTTTGAGCATCTAGTCCCATGCCCAGCACACAGGAGGCCCACAGTTGGTTGAATGAGGTATGTCCTGTTACCTCTGTTCACAGATGAGGCTCTGAGCGGAAAGTCACTCACCCGGGGTTACACAGCTACTCAGTGACGGAACTGGGAGGCGGCTTAGGTCTGACTTGCTTCCAAGGCCAGCCTGTCAACCCACAACACTCTGCCCATCTGAGTCAGAAAACTCAAAGAACCGCTTTGATTGCAAGTTGCAAGGGAAAGCTGTCAATCCTGGTGGGGATGTGAGGAAAATGTAGAGACCAAAGCCCAACCAATACCTAGTATTCTTCAGAGGGGTGACAGTCGAGATGTTTTTCCTGCTGTGCCTTCACCTTCTGCCTTCTCCCCACAGGGTTCCCAGAAGGAGCTGTTGAACTTGACTCAGCAGGATTACGTGAACCGCATAGAGGAGCTCAATCAGTCATTGAAGGACGCCTGGGCCTCCGACCAGAAAGTGAAGGCTCTAAAAATTGTCATCCAGGTTAGATCTAGTGACCCCCCTCTGCCCCCACCTGGAATTTCCTATGTAAAATTCCACTGTGGAGACTTAGAGTTTTCAGGGGCATGCCTGCAGGGTCTTATCCTTGTTCTTTCCATGCGTTCATTTTCATATACTTCTTGTGAAAAGCCATGATTATGAATCTGTGTTTTTATGAGATGGCTAATCCCAGGGTCACATGTACAGCTGCACAGGTTGTACACTGCACAACTCCAGGAAGCATTCTTCATCCTAGATTACAGAATAGATGATACCCCATGTGTTGTACAGTACATCAATCATGGTGTAACTCCTGACACATTTATAATTTGCACACACTAAAGATTGAGAAGCTTTCTTTCGGGTTGCCTTGACTGCATTGGTTTGGTATCTTCGGAATTAATGATGTGTGTCCCTGATAAATGCATTTTTCAGACATATTCTGCATGCTGTGTGACAAGGAGATATATACAGCCTTGGGAGAAGTGCATACATTGAATCTTCTCTGTTGATCAATTTGTTAAGCCAGTGACAATTGTTGAACCACAAGAACAAGTACTATGTGGAAAATAGCTTCTATTTCTTGGCCCTGAAGATCCTACTATCTCAGCAAAATGTACTCAGAAGCACATTAGGAAAGGAATAATGTATTAAGTTGTCATTTTTAGAGCAGAGTTAACAAAGGATTTCTGTACTGCCATTTTAGTTCAAAAGGACAGATCCATTCTCATTCCATGTTATGATAATGCGACATTTGTTTTCTCACCTGTTCTTTTGAAAGGCTGGAGAGTCCAGGAATCTTCACACTGGACACTTGAAGTCTTTTAAGATGACTCCTTATATAGTAGAGGTGATTTCTTTGGTGTTTCATGATGGGAGGCCAACGCCAACCCGTTTTTCTTCAATCACTGTTGTTAGTTTACAGAGTAAACAGTCCCGAAGGCCAGGCCTCTCATCCTGGAAGCCCGTGGTGAGGGTTACTTGCTGAGTGCCTTGAGTGAGAGACTATCTGAACTAAAAAGTGCTTCTTCACAATATTTGCATTGGCAGTATCTCTTCATAGATTACTGTACTTTAGAACTGTGTCTTCTAAGAGGTTTACATCTGGGGGAGATTTGATTTATGTCTTTGCAAACAAAATAATCATAAGTGTGTTTGATCAACTCCACATCTGGCTGATAGTAACAATTCTACAATGTGTTAAGGACTGCCTTCTTTATCCAAAAGATATAGTCAGGGCTGGGCACAGTGGCTCATATCTGTAATCCCAGCATGTTGGGAGGCTGAGGCAGCTGGATCGCTTGAGCCCAGGAGCTTGAGACCAGCCTGACCAACATGGTGAAACCCCATCTCTATTAAAAATACAAAAATTAGCTGGGTGTGGTGGCAGGTGCTTGTAGTCCTACCTACTTGGGAGACTTAAACCTGGAAGGCATTTTTATACCTCCCCAGATTCCCCAAGCCTGTTTGTAATCAAACCCCACTGCCATACCCAACCCCAGAAAACCACGAGTCTGTTTTCTGACTCTTCTGCCCTTGACATTCATATACATGGGATTATTCAGTGGATAATCTTTTGCATCTGGCTTCTCTCACATAGTATCATGTGCCTTTTTAATTGATACATAATAATTCTGTGTATTTTTGGGGTACACAGTGATATTTTGATACATGTATCCAGTGTGTAATGATCAAATCCAAATAATTAGCATATTCATCACCTCAAATGTCTCTGATTTCTGTGTGTTGGGAACATTCAAAATCTTCTCCTCTAGCTATTTGAAAATATACAATAAGCTAGGCCTGGTGGCACACGCCTGTAGTCCTAGTTAGTGGGAGGCTGAGGCATGAGAATTGCTTGAACCTGGGAGGTGGAGGTTGCAGGGAGCCGAGATTGCACCACTGCACTCCAGCCTGAGCGACAGAGCGAGACTGTGTCTCAAAAAAAAAAAATAAAAATAAATTGTGAACTATAGTCAGTCTAGTGACTAGAACACTAGAACTTACTCCTACTATGTAGCTGTAATTTTGCGCCCATTAACCAACCTCTCTGTGCTCCCCTTGCCCCTACCCTTCCCAGCCTCTAGTAATTACAGTTCTACTCTCTACTTTTATGAGCTCAGCTTTCATAGCTCCCACATGTGAGTGAGAACATGCAGTATTTATCTTTCTGTGCCTGTTTAACATGATGTCTTCCAGGCTCATTCGTGTTGCTGTGAATGATGTAGTTTCATTTTTTATGGCTAAATAATGTTCCTCTGTGTGTGTATATACCTGTGTGTGTGTATCATGTTTTCTTTATTAATCCATTTAAGTACATTTAGATTGATTCTCTATCTTAGCTGTTGTGAATAGTGCTACAATAAACATGGTACTGCATGTTTGTATTCTTTCATATACTGATTTCCCTTTCTTTAGATGATAACCTAGTTGTGAGATTGCTACATCATATGGTAGTTCTACTTTTAGTTTTTTGAGAAATTTCCATACTGTTTTCTAGAATTGTTACACTAATTTATATTCCTACCCACAGTGAATAGGAGTTCCCTTTTTGGCCTGGTGCGGTGGTCCACTCCTGTAGTCTCAGCATTTTAGAAGGCCAAGGAGGGGGTATCACCTGAGGTCAGGAGTTCGAGACCAGCCTGGTCAACATGGTGAAACCCTGTCTCTACTAAGAATACAAAAATTAGCTGGGCGTGGTGGCAGGTGCCTGTAATCCCAAGTACTTGGGAGGTTGAGGCAGGGGAATCTCTCGAACCCAGGAGGTGGAGGTTGCAGTGAGCTGAGATTGCACCATTGCTCTCCAGCATGTGTGACAGGAGCAAAGCTCTGTCTCAAAAAAAAAAAAAAAAAAAAAAAGTTTCTTTTTCTTTGCATTCTCACCAGGATTTTTTTGTTTCTGTTTTCAGAGGTGAGGTTGCCCAGGCTGGAGTGCAGTAGTTAATCCCAGACGTGATCATACTGCATTACAGCCAGCCTAGAAATCCCAGACTCAGGTGATCCTCCCACCTCAGCCTCCCAAGTAACTGGGACTACAGACACATACCACCATGCCCAGCCTATTTTTGTCTTTTTGATAGTAGCCATTTTCATGTGGTTTTCATTTGATGATGATTTCCCTGATGATGAGCGATGTTGAACATTTTTTTCACATATTTGTTGGCTAATTTGTATAACATCTTTGAGAAATGTCTCTCCAGCTCATTTGTCCAGTTTTTAATTGGATTCTTTTTTTTTTTTTTTCTGAGATGGAGTCTTGCTCTGTCGCCTAGGCTAGAGTGCAGTGGTGCAATCTTGGCTGACTGCAACCTCTGCCTCCCGGGTTCAAGCGATTCTCCTGCTTCAGCTTCCTGAGTAGCTGGGATCACAGCTGTGTGCCACCAGGCCCGGCTAATTTTCGTATTTTTAGTGGAGATGGGGTTTCACCATGTTGGTTGGGCTGGTCTCGAACTCCTGAGCTCAGGTGATCCACCTGCCTCGGCCTCCCAGAGTGCTGGGACTACAGGTGTGAGCTACCATGCCCGGCCTTGGATTACTTTCTTCAGCATAATATGTTTGAGGTTCATCCACATCATATTATGTGTGGGTACTTTGTTCCTTTTTCCTGCTGACTTGTATTCTAATGTGTGATTATCTTAAGTCGATGGGCATTTGGGTTGTTCCCACTCTCCGGCTGTTATGAATAATGCTGCTATGCACATTTGCATACAGTTATTTGTGTAGGCTTATGTTTTTATTACTCTTAGGTAAAATTTTAGGAATGGAATTGCTGGGTCATATGGTTAGGTTTAACTTGTTGAGAAACTGCCAAACTGTTTTCCAAATGGCTGCAGCATTTACATGAGGGTTCTAATTCCTTCACATTTTCTCTGACACTGAGCATTGTCCATCTTTTTTTCTGTTTTCTTTTTGTTTTTTTGAGACAGGGTCTCACTCCGTCACCCACACTGGAGTGCCACGTGCCACGATCATAGCTCACTGCAGCCTCAAACTCTAGCCTCAAGTGATCCTCCCAACTCAGCCTCCTGAGTAGCTGGGAGTACCGTGCCCAGTTTCATTTTTAAAGATGTTTTTTTGTAGAGACAGGGTTATGCTGTGTTGCTCAGTATGGTCTTGAACTCCTGGCTTCAAGTGAACTTCCCACGTCAGTCCCCCAAAGTGCTGGGATTACAGGCCTGAGCCATTACACCTGGCCTGTCATTTTTATTATAACCATCCTGTCATCCTATTGGATTTGAAGTGGTATGGTTTTAATTTGCATATTCCTAACACTAATGTTCAGCATCTTTGTACATGCTATTGGCCATTTGTGTATGTACAGTGAAATGTCTCTTCAAGGCCTTCCCATTTAAAAATTGTGTGATTTGGTTGAGTTGTAACAATTTTTTGTTGTTGTTGTTGGGAGGCAGGGTCTTGCTCTGTGACTTTAGATGGAGTGCAGTGGTGCCATCACAGCTCACTGTAGCCTTGACCTCCTGGGCTCTAGTGATCCTCCCACCTCAGCCTCCCTAGTAGCTAGGACTACAGGCATGTGCTGCCACACCCAGCTAATTTTTAAATTTTTTTGTAGAGACAGAGGGTTTCAATTTGTTGCCCGGGCTGGTCTCGAACTCCTGTTCTCAAGCCATCCTTTGATCTTGGCCTCCTAAAGTGCTAGGATTATAGGCATGAGCCAATGCACCTGGCCAGTTATATAACAGTTTTTTAAATATGTTTTTGATACTATTTCTTTGTCAAGTATGTGATCTCCTAGTCTGTGGCTTATCTTTTTGTTTTCACAATTGTGTCTTTGAAGTGCAGAAGTTTTTATTTAATTAATTAAGTTTTCTGAGACAGAGTTTCACTCTCCTTGCCCAGGCTGGAGTGCAGTGGCATGATATCAGCTCACTGCAACCTCTGCTTCTTGGGTTCAAGCAGTTTTCTTGCCTCAGCTTCCCAAGTAGCCGGGATTACAGGTGCCCACCACCGTGCCCAGTTAATATGTGTATTTTTAGTAGAGATGG